AGAACCACTGCAAAGCAGTGGTTCTGCTCCTATCTCAATGGCCGATTCCAGAAGGTGGTGCTGGGGCCATGGCAGCTATGCCATGGAGTTCCACAGGGGTCCATTTTGTCCCCCTTGCTATTTAACATCTACATGAAACTGCTGGGAGAGGTCATTAGGAGGTGTGGGCTGTGGAATCATCAGTATGCTGATGATACCCAGCTCTACCTCTCATTCTCAACTAATCCAGGTGAGGCGGTGGCTGTACTGAACCGGTGCCTGGCCGAGGTAATGGGCTGGATGAGGGCCAATAAACTGAAGCTCAATCCAGACAAGACGGAGGTCCTGTTGGTAGGTGGGACGAGCTTTGGGATGGGGGACCTGGACCTTGTCCTGACTGGGATTGCACTCCCTCTCAGGGACAGGGTTTGCAGCTTGGGAGTGCTCCTCGACCCAGAGCTCCTCGACCTCCTCGACCCAGACCCAGAACTTTGGCTGATCCATCAGCCGCATCCCTATCTGGAGACTGCCTGGTGACTGTGACACATGCATTGGTTACTTCCCGATTAGAATTCTGTAACGCGCTCTACGTGAGGCTGCCCTTGAAGATGGTCCAGATACTTCAATTGGTGCAAAATAGAGCTGCCAGGTTGCTGACGGGGACTGGGCATTGTTTTCATATAACCCCATTTCTCCGTCAGCTTCACTGGCTCCCCATTGAAGTCCAGGCCCAATCAATCACCTATAAAGCCCTCAGTGGCTTGGGACCTGGTTATCTAAAGGAGTGTTTGCGTCCATATATACCCTCCCGGCCCTTAAGATCTGCGGAGGAGGACCTTCTCCGGGAGCCCTCTGTGAAGGATATTAGGAGGGTGAGTACCCGGAGGAGGGCCTTCTCTGCGGTGGTGCCCCACCTATGGAATGCGCTCCCCAGAGAGGTCCGCCTGGCGCCATCGTTATTTGTTTTTCGGCACCAGGCCAAGACCTTTTTATTTAAACAATATTTTAATTGTTAATTTGTTGTTCTTATTTATTGGTTTTAAATTATGGCCGAGATACTCCAAATTTTTAATGTTATCCTATTCTATGTTTCATCTGCCTTGTAAGCCACCCCGAGGCTTTCTGCAATGGGTGTGGCATAAAAATGTTATAAATAAATAAATAAAATCAAAATAAAATTACAAGCATCCAGCTACTGCTGCATGCAGTGCAACTTATTGTGGCACTTGGAAATAATTCTTCTCTCAAAGCAACATGCATGCAGCAATCATATTTTCTGCCCTTTGCAAGTTCCCTTAGGGTCCAAGTGCTTCATTTTTCTATCCTAGGGACAAAGTTGTAACAAGCCATCCTCCACCACTGATCCAATGGGCACTTTTGCACATCTGGGCAATCCGTCTTCGCAATCAGCTGTAGTGCTTTGGTCCTTCTGTGAGCAACCCAAGGTGTGCTTGACAGATGATGGGGTTTGCTATGGGTTGTTTACCATTCCTTCCCCCTCAGACCTCTTGTGGGTATCCCAGAGGACCCCACAGCAACACCAAATGTCTCTCCACCTGCCTCCCATTGTGAACCCATCCCATTTTCAACCTCTGCAGCTTTGTGTTTGTTTGTTTGTTTTGTATCTTAACTCCGTGAAACACAGCTTAACAGCCACCTTTTGAAATCCCATTTTTGACAGTGATTGAAAGGCCTGTCCATGGTTGGGAGGTTTAAAAAAATTAATATGCAATTCAGAATGAATACAATATTTTTTCTGTGTGTGTGTGTGTGTGTGGTTAATTTGCTAAATATACACACCTTTGCAGGTGTGCAGTTATGTAAGTACAGTAATTTGCAGACAAATGTCCTTGGAAGTATTGTACCTTTTGTGATAGCATAGCAGGACCCAGTCCTGGTTATTGACCCAAAGAGGCTCCATATAGACTTTTGCTTCCCTTTATTTTCTCTTGACAGTTGTCAAAAGATGAGGAATGAGCCATTTCTGCTCATGAGAAAGAAGGGATGCATACCCTTTTCATGCAAAGATCCTCATTTTAAGGGTACTGCCCAAAGGGTGAATTGCTTTTACGGTTGTTTCTAAGGCTGCAGATGTTATGAACATGCATATGAGCCACCCCCTTAGCTATCATAGCAAGCTGTCAAAGTCTTGTTCCTTTTGTGATGGTGATGGTGATAGAAGACTACCATGGTTTCTCAACATATGCATTCCTATATCCCTGTCAAGGAACCATGGGCAGCCCTGTCAACACCCACTGCGACTTTCCTTTAAAAGGATCCAGAAAGACAGCTGCTTTTGATTGCTCCTTTTAAAAGGGGGACTAGCTCACAGTTTTCCTGAGACTCTATATGCGTAGGAAGAACTAAGCACCTTTCAGAAAATGCCTTGTTGTATCCTAATCTAGCTTCCAACATCGGAACATGCCACATATAGGGGAAATAAGTATACAAAGACATGATCAACAATTCAGCCTCAACCTTTTCTCGTGGCAATGACTTAGCAGCTCATAATATCCTGACCCTTAAATCCTTGGGTTTCTGTAAAGTATAACCCTTTCTATCTTTGTGAGTTGCCTTTTGTATACAATCTATTTATACCATTCTTATCAGTACTTCCACATATATTCAAATGATGCTGTTCCCATTCTTAAGAATCATTGTTAAATTCTTAACAGAAAACCATATATAAAATATTTAGACTTTTTAATGTCAGTGTTGGAGGGGAAAAGAAAGAATATTTACCTCAAAATAATCCAACAAATAAGCCAGCTCAGCTCCAACAATACGGATGTTTTGCACTGCATTTATATACAACTTATCAGAACCATCTTTCCACTTTACCACAATGCAGTTTATATCTTCCTTAAGAAGAAGGAGCTAGAAGGTCCACAAAGTAACAGATAAGTGAAATAGATATTGATTGGATCCAAACTTTGTCCTACTTAGAGTATTGAAACCAGTAAAGTCATAACCAACTTAATTCCTATTGATTTGAATTGCTTTGTTCTAAATATGATTCATCTTGAATTCAACACATTGGTCAGTTTAGTACACAGGAAAACAATATAGGCATGATTACTGTTTTCCCTATTTTTGACAGACAGCAGAACAAAGAATCCCAAAGAACAAGGCTGTTACATGTTGCAACATATTAGACATAGATGATTGTCATTGCCATATACTGATAAAAATCACAGGTCTTCACAGTTGCTCCCAGTTACCGCCTGTATTTCTGAAGTTCAGGTTGTGAGCACCATAGCCAAAATGGCAGTTCCAAAGATCAAGCAGAAGGTACCAGTAGGCACCAGAGAGCTCCCCTCATGCAGAAGTACAAAAATATTAGGCGAAAATACCTCCAAAGCAGCACAGAGAGAAAAAACTTGCTCTGAGACGGGCCACAGAATGCTTATAGAAGGCCAAATGAATCACTCATGATGGCAGTGCCATGAATATGCCAAACTATGCTCTGGGTGCTGTACTAAAACTATGCAACTTTGCTTGCTTGCTCTTCTGCAGCTGCGTGTGGCCTCAATTCAGATCAGGAACAGAGTGCTCCAGAAGAGGAGGAGTTTGGCTTCCTCTTCAACCATTTTTTCCCATGAAATCTCATCCTACTTGTTGGGGATGTGGAATTAAAAAGGGAGAAAATCCATTAACTCCAAGAAAGGTGTGTGTGCGGGTGGTAGAGGACTCTAACCCATTGGGGTAGAGTTGGAATTTTGTTGGAAGAAAATAATCAGAAAACTGGCTAGGAAATGTAAATGGCATGCAGTGGCTGATTTCACTTCATTGTTGTTATTATTTATGACTCCTGTATTGTATAAACCAGTGACATAACTACCAACTTTACAATTTATGAAACAAAAGGAAAAAGTAATGGGGGCTGGAAAGGACAATGATCAAATGTCAGGTTTAAAGAAGAGAGAGGCTAGACTGGTCATGCTCATGGGAATTAAAAACTATAGAATGGTTTAAAAATAACTATGATCACTGCAAAATGGCTTTCCAGTTTAATCTGGAAACATGGCCAAAGTAGACTTGAGTCCTTTTAAGGTTTGCCCTGGAGACACACAATTCTTTTCATGGAGTATGTGCTTACTCCTATACCAGTCTCAGCACACAACCCATACATGAGGATTATGCTTCACAATGAAGGAGGAGGAAACTAGTTCTACCCCACTATCCATGCCCTGGGGAACACATCTGTCAAGGAGGGCTCTGCTGTATCCACACAGACCCCTCTCACCCATGATGCGAAGCATTGCTTACACAAGGTTCTATATCATGGAAGTACAGGGCAGGCTCCCTGCTACAGATATCCTCTCCCACTGTGTATATTTGGGGGAGCGGAAGTAGGACAAGTGGGTAGAAATCTATTGCCAGAATCATGCTGGCTCCAACTACCTCACCCTCTGGCAAGCCAGTTACGAGCATCTATCATCACATTTGAGCTTCAGTTTTTACTCACTGTAAAGTAAGTGTTGCACTTTGAGTGTTTGCACAGGCGCTCCAAGAGATGAACAGATGTGATATACAGATGGGCTCTACTCCACAAGTTAAAAAGCCTTGAAGCAACATGGGAATGGGGTACTGTATAAGCCTAACACATTGAAATGTGCAAGCTTCCACGAGAATGGGCACAAACTCCTTCTGACTGAGCATACTAATGGAACAGCTGCACACTTCTGCATTTATCATGATCCGACTTCATCAGTGACTCATGTATAAAACATTTTAAGATGGAAACACAGCAAAAGGACATCTCAGTTAGTACAATCTCACATGCACCAGCATCTTATTTTTTCAGGTCATTATCAGGACAGTAATATTGTTGTTCCATCCATTCCATAAAATGAAGATTAGAGAATAACCATGTTTTTACCTTGCATATCTCTACTATCTTAAGATAGTCATCAGCAGCAAAATGGCCATGTATAATGAAACGTGTTATCCGGTTTGTTCTGAAATTTGAAATTCTAATTGTTGAAGGATAGATAGCTGATATTACCTTTAAACAGAATAAAGGGGAGTATTTTAATTATTTCTTTGAGGATCTCAACTTCTTTAGAAATAATATGATGTTAGGCAAGAGTGAGACAAACCCAAGATTAGCCATGGCACATACAGGATGCATTCAGTCACTATTGAAAGTGCAAGCTCTGATAAGGGTGATCAGGAACATGAGAACCCAGCCATCATGAGTTAATTGTGGGTAAAACAATGCACCCTTAATCCAGCTTCTAATCAAGGGCTATTAAAAGATGCAGAGTCATCCTATGGTTCATCACATGGAATTTAAGGAGTCATAGGAGATAAAAGTGGAAGGGATAGGAAAGACAGTTGATTGTCCACCCACAGCAAGGCTGAGAGGCCAATCTAGCTGAAAATGCTTCTTTAGGTGGAATGGGAGGTGAAAGCATTACTGCCATTCAACTCGTTTTGCCTTGCTCTTGCCAGCAGAGCTTTTCCATTGTGTTAGTTTTCTATTAAATCAATGGAACCTGAAACGGTTTGATATTGACTGTGATGATCTTATATGGCAATGTGTTGGAATTTCTCTAGCTTCTAGAAACCACTGAACATAAGAAAAGCACTGGAAAATTATTATTGTCCTGGGACGAGTTCCATGTAGAATGGGCTAAAAATATTTTAAATCATAAATAAATAATAATAGCAATAAATAATAATAAAAGTCTCTCTCCATGGAAACCCTCACAAGATGGTTGCCACCATGAACAAACTTTTTCCATAACACCATGCTCTGAGTAAAATACATGCATAGAAGATGAAAATATGATTTTGAATTATCCAAATAACTATTACTACCATCAGTTTCTTTCAAAATCAGGGTGGTTTAGTGACTAGAGTATTAGTTTTTGAGGTGGGAAACCCAGGTTCTATCTTTGAAGCAGAAAACATAGTTGACAACTTAAGCGATTCTTTATCATACCTTCTAAGGTCACAACTCACCCTGAATGCCATGCATGAGGGATGGTATCCAGATGTGACCAAAAACATTTCCACAACATTCTCTAATAATGGACAGTTACGGTCTTATGAATTAACAAAAGACTTAATTTATTTAGACTGTAAATTTTACAGGATTATGGTTTTGTGTTTAGTAGAGGGGAAGGGGGATTGCACTCACTGCTGTTGCCCTCAGCTTCCATTTGTTAATTAACTCTTCTGCACATACCATACAAGCTTACAAACTATGTACACTTAGGCATTCCTGAAACTATCAGTGCCACTGACTCCAATCATTCTTTACATCAGGACTATGATTACAACTTAGTTTTCTACACAGCAATCCTATGTTAGCTAAGAAGCCACAAGCTACTTGAGCAACAGTTTGGTTTAATAAATTTCAAGTTAGGTTATACTATCTACACAGGAAAGCTGTCACAATGTCCTGTGCATTTTCATCCTCTGACGTAAGTCCCACTGAATTTAAAGAAATGCAGAGCTAAATGTGTATGGGACTGAAGCCTCCGTTTATTTTACTTTAACCTAACATGAATTTTAATACATAACAATGTATCTAAGAGAAAATAATACTTTGAAGGATATGCAGGATTATGCGTACAATGGTGATATTACACTAGATCGAGGCAGAATGCTAATCTATATTATTAAATCATTAGCTGAATGGACTCTTACTTGGAAATATGTAGGGTTTTCCCTAGTGTGCAAGAGAAAAGTAGTATTAACAACTTCTGGAGGTTCTGGGAGGTTGAGCGCAGGCCGTTGCAATGTTCCACCCCAAGGGGGATCATTTGTAAAGCACCCAAGTCTGTTATCACACATTTCTGAACCTGTGGCAGGTAAAGGACATCATATTTTGAAATCAGCAGTGCAGAGAGGATACAATTGATGCCCTTCCCCTTTAAAGAAAGATTCTAGGAAAGAGTTACTTTCGAATGGAAGTGTATTTTTGTCTCAGTCATTTCTCAGTCACTACATATACAATTCTCATTTATTGGACTGTGGAAAACAGCAAGTCACACTTAAAAAGTTAAGCAAGAAAGAGATCCTATCCACAAGTCATTTGGTTTTAGATTGACCTTGCACAGATGAATGGGGTTAGGTTAATTTCTTTTCCCGCATTATCAAGAAACAAAACAATTTCAGTGTTACCATTTATTTAGCATATTTCTTAAGCATTCAGCATGAGGAACACAATTTCCTGTCTTCATTTAATAGGTGAGGAGGATTACAATTATGTTGTTGGCTGCTTTAAGGAGCATGAAGAGATGTGGTTACACTTCTCTGCATAACATCTCCCACACAGGCACAATTTCAAGCTGCCTCCACCTCATCCAAGGTAAATGAAGCTTAGACTGGAGTTATATTTATAAAGTTCAATTTCTGTATCCTTGCTGACACTTCTGAATTAGACTTGATGGAGAGTAATCTGCATTCCCCATTGCACCCAAGGTCATTCACTTGTGGGCAGGACAAGCATTCCCTGGCCTCTTCTTCTCCCCACTCACCTCATGCCCTTTACATCTGCTTTCAAGGGTTGAGGAACCCTCCGGGGGGTGGGGTGTTAGAAATCACATGTGGAGATGTGGGGAGACATCCCTTTCTGCCTGGAAGCTGGATCCAACTGAAACTTTGTATCCTGTGCCCCATAACAGAAGTTCTCTGGGCAGTTGACAAGATAAACAAACATGCTGTGACTGTAAACTTGAAAGGCAGATGGCAGAGGGAAAGAAAATTTGTGGTATGGGAGAAAAGTCTTATGGCCCCAGAGATTGTTTAGGGGGCCACGGGATCCTTCATATGTATTTTATTTATTTATTTATTTAAACATTTCTATGCCGCCCCATTTGCCGAAGCCTCAGGGCGGCTCACAACATACATTAAAATACAAGAAATAACAATATAAAATAAGTCGCCCTGGCCAGATAAAATAAGCAAATAATATTAGCAATTAAAATGACGCTTAAATAAAAAGGTCTTTGCCTGGCGCCGAAAAACAAATAACGACGGCGCCAGGCGGACCTCTCTGGGGAGCGCATTCCATAGACTGGGCGCCACCCAAGGTCTGAGGATAGCAGTGAGTTCCAACCTCAGAGATGGAGATCTGTGCTTGAATCTTCTTTCCTCTAAAGTGCCATCTGCATCTTCAAGTTTCGGAACATGACTTCAGATAAGGGTAGAAGGGAACATTTCAAGTGATGGAGGAGGAAGGAGACTGGCACTGCCAGGATGCAAGTTCTCTTGCTGGCACTCCAGCCTCCTTCTCTTCTCATTCAAATTACTGCAGGTAAGCAGTGATACCATCCATCTCACTGATCTGAAAAATATGAGCTTGGAGGCAGAAATCACACGTGCTGTTCCCTTTCCCCTCTGCAAAGGCTGCTCATGAAGCTCTGATTTAGGAGACTGATGAGCACTGAGGGTGCAATAAATAAATGAACGAATAGGAATGAAAGAACAAAACTCCACAGGCCCAAAACACGATAAACAGTGATGGTGCTTCCAAATGGACAGGTCCTAGTGCTACCATCCAAAAGGCCAATGGTGCTCTTCCATTTTTCTTTCCTTAATGGAAGTTCTGTGCTAAGAAAAAGGTGGGGGAAGTGGTTGAAAAATGTAAAATACAAATGTAAAGTATCACACTACACATATAGTTCTATGATGGATCAGGGCAGTTCCACAATGAAAGTGTCATCGTAGCTTGGCCACAGCTTAAAAGACTAAAACAAATAAACAAACAAACATCTGAATAAAACAGTTTCCTGGATTCCTAAAATATTTATTTATTTTTCGATTTATATCCTGCCTTTTTCCTACAAAGGGCTCAAGGTAGCTTACATCTCCTCCTCCATCTTATCCCCACAACAACAACCCTGTGAGGTAGGTTGGGCTGAGAGTCTGTGACTGGCCCAAAGTCACCCAGTTGGCTCCATGGCCGAGCGGGGACTAGAACCCAGATCGCCTGAGTCCCAGTCCCATGCTCTTAACCACTACACCAATCTGACATGAGAGACAAAAGTCTTTGTTTAAGGAAAGCATGGGATTTCGTACAGCTATGAATAGAATCTGCCTGCCCAAATTCTTCAATTCAGGTGCAGACATTTATCAGTAGTATACCACTGGGCATCATTTCTTATGACAAAGTGGATTCTTTTGCTTTTGACTGAAAACAAAACACAGTATGAGATAGTATTTTTAAAAAATGAATATAAAAATGAAAATTGAGAGCCAGTGTGGTTAGGAGTGTGAGACTGGGACTCAGGAGTTCTGGGTTCAAATCCCCACTCAGCCATGGAGCCAACTGGGTTACTTTGGGCCAGTCACAGACTTTCAACTCAGCATACCTCACAGGATTGTTGTGAGGATAAGATTGGAGGAAACTGCCTTGAGTTCTTGAAAGAAAAAAGCAGGATATAAATAAATAAGTGTATGAAAGGATTAATCAGTTTATAGCAAATTTATCCATCCAAAATTCATATGCATAGCCTGTGAATGAAAAGTTTCAGTGCCTGTATTATTGTCCTTAATCTCACCTTCCACAATTGCATGCAGAAATAGTGCAATGAATGAATGACCAAACATCTAGAATAAAAAAGAAATACTCAAGTTAACTCCAATGCTGGAATCCATCTGAAGTTACAGGGATATATTCTGCTTATCACATCAGTGCAACTGTCCATACCTATGAGGAATCATGATGCAGATAATTAAGAACAAAATGATCAAAGGGAATGCTTTATATAATAGTGTCACCACAATCCAATTCCCAGTGTGTCCATAGTCAACAATAAAGAAAATAATTACTTTCTCTGTCTTTAACAAAAGTATCCGTGCCTCTGCACCCCTTCCCCACTTTCCACTGGCTGTCCATAATCCTCCATGTTTGGCGGGTGGCAGGCAGCTATGTTAGATGGATCTGTAAGACTGCAATCCTATATCCTTGTCTGGGTTTTGCATTCCTTATGTGGGAACAACCTTCATGAAACTCCATGGGGGTGTACTTCTGAACAGGTATGTGCAAAAATTGTACATATGTGTTCAGAAGAGTAGATGTAATGAGCAAGCCTATGACTGTCTGCTCAGAATTTAGTCCCACTGATGAGTTTAGTGGGGCTTATTCACAGGTAACTGAACTTCAGTCCCAAGCATGTCTACTCAGACATTAGTCCTTGCCTATTGAGCACAGCTCCAAAATTAAAGACACATTTTCTTTAATCCAACACTTCATTATGCATGCATAAAGCTTCTAAAGAACAAGCCAACTTTACAGATATCTTTAAAAAACACAAATAAGAATTAAAAACAAATCACATGAAGGCTGAGACAATACCACTATTTTCAAGCTATGCGCCAGTTTTAGCCTTACCTGTAACTACTTTTTCCCCCCTTTCTCTCCCTGAGTGTGAGCTTGTGTTCCTCCTGCCAAAGCATATCCCACTGAGTCAATGTTGTTATTTAAGATGATACACTCAACAGGTCTAGACTAGCTTCCATAGACTCCACCTACATAAATATTAAACAGATAGATATAAATTAGATAGATATAAATATACTAGGGAGTTTGTTGTGAAGGGCAAAGAAGGCAGAGCCCCATTCAAATCTCACCTGCTGTTCCTTGCATGATTTGAAAAACCAACAAGTAAAGCCTTGTCTGGAGGACTGACCAGTGTTCTTACCTTCCAATGCCTCCCCCGCCCTTTGTTTAAGCTCCTTGTGTTTCTTGGTTTGGTTCAGTTGACAAATATGGTGGTGCCAACTGATGAATACCCTTTTGACACTGTTCTTTGCCCAAGGCAGTGGCAGAAGGTCTTGTACCAGTCCCGTTTTTGCCCCTGGGATGGCATGTGTAGTTTGGAGGAGGCCGATGCTGCTGATACTATTTTCAGGGCCTAGATTATGTGTGGCTTTGGGTCTTCAGAGCACCACAACGGTATGTGCAGCTTGGGGTGCCTCTTCTGAACGTCGATTGCTATGTGCTTTCACTGTGTCCTGGAAAGGAATGACCTTTAGAAACATCTACAGGGGTCACTGTAATGTGCATGTAAGACCTGATAAGCTTCCAGCAACTTCAGTGAATGGACATGGCAGAGGGATCCTTAAGAGGGGAAATCTGGAGTGATCATATATATGGATGCCTGAGGAGCCTCAGTTTGTTTCTGAACCCAATACAGACTGCTTTGACCTGTAGAGCCCTAGAGCATCTGCTCTGGAATGCTGCCTATCTCTGGAGGAACCTGCCCTGCAACATGGCTGAGAGGGCATTTCTGTGGTTTCTTCCCATCCATGGAACTCCCTCTCAAGAGGGCTCGGCATGACAATCTCCTTGCTATCCTAGAGGTGCCAGGCAACATCTGTCCTGTGTGTGGGGTAGGTAATTCTGGGGTTTTGACTCCGATTAAGTAGAGTGCTTGGTTTATTTCATTATTCTTGCCTGTTTGAGTTGGCCTGGAGATATTTTTAGTTGACATATTAGTTAATTGCTGGCTTTATAAGTTCTTTATGTAACATGGCTTGTTATACTCAGTTTCTTTTTCTATTTAATGTTTTGGCTTTTAATGAGATTTTATTAAGTGTCTATGTCATTTAGTAGATAAGGAGAATACAGGTCTTCTAGGTGAATCCTTTGAGTCAGAGGATTTATTTATTTATTGAAATACATGCTGCTCTTCCTTAATAAATCACAAGGTGGTGCACAAATTCATTAGCACAACAGAGAAAATAATATATAAAGCCACAGTAGAAACAAACAAACAAACAAAAATCTACTGGCACAATTATCCCATGGTCCATATACAGCAACTATGGGGCCATATGATTCCTGG